GCAGCAGGAGCCACTGGGGCTGTCGCGGCGACTGGAATTGCCAGGTTCTTTGGTGGCTTTGGGAAAGGAGCAAAGCAAGGAAGAACACCAAGAGACAGACTCAGAGCAAGAAGACCCAACAAGGAAGAGCCACAACAGCAAGAATCCGCCTCCTGTCGGCTGATCCAAGCACATCCGGTCCTTCGACCGGTGTGTTGTAGGAGCGGCAGCTGCCACAGGTGCTGCCGTTGTAGCCGGTGGTGCAATGATCGCTACGGCAGTCAAAAAGCCAAAAAGAAAAGAAGAAACAGAAATTGTGGGCCAGAAGAGAGCACCTCCTTTGTCCGAAGACAGGGTCTACATCAATGCCATCATTCCAAAAACCAAGGGGTCCAAGTTGGGCATGAAACTCACCGAAGCAGCCGATTCGGGACGGGATCTTCTCATTATTGCCAACATTTTGCCTGGCGGTCTGGCAGACGAGTCCAAATTGAAACAGGGCATGATTCTCTACACTGTCAATGGAAAACTCACAGAGGGCAAGTCCGCCATGGAAGTAGCCAGGATGTTGGCTGGAGCCGAAGGAACCGTAACGGTGGTGGCCATTGCGGACAAGAATGAGATCGAAGAGAAAGCGAAACAGAAGAACATGACGATGAACGAAAACTTCAGGATAGGCAGGTATGGCTTCGGTGCCGGCGCAGAGTATCGGTGCGGGCTCGAACGTCCTGCCATGAGCCGTGACGCATCCAAACAGCTCCTCTCAGAAGTATCCCGAGAAGAGAAGAAGAAATCGCATGATGAAGAGGATACGATAAGAGCGAAGAGCTTATGTCCAAATCGGACATGGAAGCCATGGCAGCCACTCCGCTGGCTTTGGCACCAGGCGGCTGAGCAGATCCGCGGTCATCCAACAGCGTTCCACAGACTCTCGTCGAGCCACAGTGGCAGCAGGTACCGTGGCAAACCCCCTGGGTGGCGGTGGGAGACGCCCGAGCTATTTTTCGGGAATGGCCAAGTTACGAAGAGGACTCCAAAAAAATCAAAGGTGATCAAATACGCCTTCAACCAAGAAAAGAGTCACAAAGCCCCCACCGCTACGGCTGCACCGGTCGACATGCCGCCACCATCATCTGAGGGTTTTTCCACGGCAGCCACCGATGCTGAATTTTGCATGGTAGGTTCCGGTTCTTGTTTGGGATGTGAAGCCGCCTTATTATTTGTAGCCACAGCGGCTGCCGTCCCAGCCGTGACGGCCACGGCGGCGGCTGCTCTACCACTATCTCCATTTCGAGTTTCCTTTCCTCCTTTGACAGCCGCGATTTTTTCCTGCAACAAGTTGGACACGATTTCCATTTCTCGTACAAAACCACCTAGATTTCCTGGAATTGGTGCTGCATCTTTCTGTTCTCCTACTAAAGCTTGTGCTTGTTGACCATCTTTGGGTCCCACTGCCTGCAAGAATTGCAACTGCAACTGAACATGCTGCTCTAAATCTTCGGTTCGTTTTTGAGCCAATTCCAATTGCATGGCGAGCTGTTCCTTTTCCAGTGTTTCTTCCTTGAGTTTGCTCTGCATCACGACCAATTCTTCCTTCTTTTTTTCTTTCTTTCGTTCCTTCTTGGCATCGCGACTCTTGATACTTCGTGTTTGATCCATATGCTCCAAATCGGCCAACATGGCCAAGTTCTCCTGCAGCCCAGCTTCCAATTGCTTGATTCGTTCTTCCTTTTGAACCAATTGCTCTTCGAGTGCCGACACGTTGGCTTCCAGGCCCTTGACTTTGCCGCGCAGTTGGACCGCCGTCACGGACTCTTCCGCCGAAGACGACGACTTCATGGCGCTTTTCAGTGAAGTAGTCGAAGAGGCTGGACCACCATTGATGATCGCTCGGGGCATGCTGACTTGGCAAAAATACAATGAATCAATCAATCAATCAGCTCACTAGGTCCATTGCTCGCAGCAGAGCGGCTCCCTCTTATGACGTTTGGTTTGGCTCCCCACGGACTTGTTTGTTTGGTTGTAGACCTTGACCTTTGCTAGCTACTACTATGCTAGTGGTACCAGTAAAGGGACGAGACTGAGCCGTCACCACTGCAGTTGTTGCTGTTGTCGATGGCCTCCCTTTCTATTGTCTTCTCTGGACTGATTGATAGTAGTGGGAACTCGTAACTGATGACCCTCATTCGAGGCGATGGACCAGATCGGATCTTGGGACAACAGCAAAGTGAGAATGCGGAAAAAAGTACGACCCAACAATTTTGGGGAGTGTCACATGGACACATGGATCTTCGACAAAGATTTAAGCCAATTTTGGGCGAGAATAGGCATTAACTACTAATATACTGGATGATGCGACAGGATTTAATAAGGTCCTACTGAGTAGTCAAGGAGTAACACGCATATATCTCTCAATCGTAAAGAAATAAGTGATTTGAACCCCAGAGAATGCGCTTCCAAGAATGAAGAAAGCCCCTGCTACACTCCAAACTCAATAATATGAAAGCTCTAACTGGGAGCCAGTACTGGAGCTTTCTTACCCAAATGCTCTATTTTGCTACTCGTTTTCTTTCTAACAAAACAAGCCAATTTCAGTATAGAAGACTTTCTTACTAAGCTTCTAGATCGAACAGGTTATCATTTTGATACACCCAGTGCACCTGCCCCTTGGGGTCCAATATGCTCAGGACTTGTAATGGTTTGGATCAAATAGGGATGGTGGCCACAGCCTCTGCCGTCAGGCAAGAAAATTTTGCAGATTTAGCCACAAGTTTGAAGCATTTTCATGGTATCAGACTAGTGGTATTTCTTATGATTTGAGGTCTCAATACTGGGAGGTTTTCTTACAAGTCTGTAATATTTCAGTATCAAGAAATTCTTATCTTTTTCTAAAATCTGAGTACTCGCTTTCTTATTTGGAGTTTCTTACTTTCAGGTTTGGAGTGTACTGTGAGCCTGTGAGTGAAACATACAAGAGCTCAGTGGTCGAGAGATACCGGAAGTGGTACCACCACTGTCCGAGAGCATAAAGTAGAGGCAAGTGTGCGTCTAAAAGGAACGGTTCGGAGCTCTCTCCGTGGAGCCTCTCTCTTCAAGAAGAGGACTCATTCCTTCTTCCAACGCACCAGAGCAATGGCGAATGTAACCTACAGAATGGCTAATAGAGCCACAGTACTGTGCTGAGACTTTTTCTATAGACCAACTAGACCGCTGCGGTCGCAGTGGTAATGCCCGTTTGGACCAGATCAGGTTTGAATAGTGGCTTTGTTGCAAAAGTAGTATAGTAGACACCCCTGTCCACTATCGTCATCTTCGTGAAGTCGCAAGCACAAAGTAGACCATGCACTCCATGAATGCTGGCTGAGAGAATGAAGTGAATACAATCACGCACAGACCAACCATAGTATTCTCGAATACGAGCAACCTCACCAAAAAAGAAAGAAAAAAGGTGCTCTAACTGACTGTACATGTGTACTACTACAACCTACGCAAGCATGTACTACTACTACTACTACCACCGATGCACTACCATGAATCATGATTCCAAGGCTGATCTACCCACCACTCCACAGTGACATCAAGAGGTATCTGTTACTCTATGGAGAGCAAGAGCACCACACAGGCTACAACCTTTAGTGGCCAACAGTTGATCCTGGGTAGACTGTACTCCAAGAAACTCCCTTTCCGGGGAGGGACAGAACGACTGTGACTATCTGTGGAGTGCAACGGCCTTGAGAAAATGCATAAAGGCCCCACAACAGATCTACGCGGAAGCTATGCCAAAATTTTTGCGGCGAACTTCTACTACTGCAAACCAGCCAGTGCCGTTGTTACAGCCAGCATTACCTGTTCCACCCCCAGCCCAGTCCCAACAGCTTCACCACTTCGAACCATTCGCAGTGGCTCCCACAAGCTCTATCAAGTTTCCCACATCTCCCAGCCAGTTTTCCATCTGAGGAACCAGCTGTCAAAGAAGGCTTCTTTCCAGATGCCCCAGCTGTCACAGAACACATCAGGTTCCATCCCATCTTGCAAGTCTTGGTGTCCCCAGCTGTCACAGAACACCACATGTTCCATCCCACCTTGCAGGTCTTAATGTCCCATCAGTTCTTATGTACTTGCTCCTGGTTTGATCTTGATTGCCAAATCTATCCAAAAGCAGTCATTGTCAGGCTAACCCAGCAAGACCAACTTCAACCAAGACCTCCCAAAGGAAACTTGAGCTTGGACTAGGCAGAAACAACTTTCATTCCTCTCCCAGTTGTGCTCAGAAATTTGTTTTCCCTCAGTTGAAAAACAAGTTTCTGCCTCAGTCCATCAGAACTGAGTAGAAAGTTCACCTGCCTTCAGACAGTCACTGACGCCTCTGCCAACCTTTGCCGCTCCAAGCGCTTTCATCATCTACCAACCTTGCCACCAAGCACAGCTTCTTTCCCCTACCCTTTTTGTTCACCATCATGACACAGTCTCAGATGATGTTGCGCAGTGGATCCACTGCCTCCAAAGGTACCCAGTCCAGCAAGTCCTCTATGAGGGTCAGCTCCCACAAGACCATGATGGAGAAGTTCAAAAAGGCCAGTGGTCTCGATAAAACCAGCACCATGTCCAAGGAGCCTGAGCAGCGATACATGACGAAACATATCAAAATTTACCAGCCTAAGCCACCAACCGAGATTGCTGAACTTCTTCAGTTGTTCTACTCGGTTGCTATGGAGGATCCTGCCAATTTGGCAGATACTATTCACAAACTCCATGAGGAATACAAGCAAAACCCCAAGAAGTCGGAGCAGTTCTGCATTCTACATGCTTTTGGCGAAAAGTATCACCTCACTCACTCCTTCCCCTTTGCCCCTGACAACTGGAAGGATAGTGACAACGCTCAGATCAAAGAGCATCATGGCAAACCCATTTTGTTTACTGGATTTGAGAGCGAGGTTGGACGGGACTTGCTCACGCTTACAGCTGACCCTGCTGATCTCTTTGGTTTGAAAACCAAACAGCTTGCTTCTTGGGATGCTTGCTGCAAGCTCACGGACGGTTTTGCTGCCACAGATGATGAAACTGCCAAGACCGTTGGTGCATTTCCTTTTCTCCCCATCATTGGTCGAGATTGGTGTGCAAAAGTTGCAAATGGTCTGTATCCTATGGATATCAGCAAAAGCTGGAC